TATTTTGCTTTTATATACAGTATATAGATATATTTGACTCTAACTCCAATTTCGGGATTACAGGTCGTAAAAAGGGAGTAACCCAGATTTTTTTTTGTTATTCCTAACCTTTTTTTTTACTTCATCAGTCTATAAACAAGAAGCCTTTCTCATGCTTCCTATTAAGCATTCTGAGCCACAACCTGTGTTTATTCTGTTACATAATTTTTGTTATTTTATTTTAAGCAGCTTCCTTACTCTCTTTCTTCATGTTCCCATCCCACCTTAACCCATCTTATTTGTTCTGATAAGCAATAATCTATTACTTTTTTAATACGGGATTCATACTTTGTTATTTTCATACTAATTACTGTTATCTCCCCCCCCCCCGAAGAGCTATTCTCGAACCTACCAAAAGTGGTCTATCCCAAGTTCACATTTGTACATATATGGACTAACTAATCCAAGTATTTGAAACAGAATTTTTTTATATAAAAGTTATTAAAAATTTAAAAGAAAACATAAAAACGAACACAAATTGATATTGAATAAAGAAAATGAAAGAGAAACAGTAAAAAAGAAAAGTACAGAAAGAAAGGATAAAAATAAATAGGAAGAAGTTTTTGACTTCCTTTGCAGCAAATATGTAGGATTACAAAATTATCTTCTTACTCTAAAACAAAATTCACAACAAAACTCATCATCAAAATCATAAGCCTTAAGTGCATTTTTCTGTTTCATGCTAAAAAGTCTATAAGGAGTTTCCAATCAGCCATAAATGTAGATATTTTTCTAATTAAGAAAGTCAAGTTAATCATCTTTGCAGGTTCCATCATCTTCCTTTATTATGGTGTCAAACTTTTCAATTTTTGAGAATACAGTAATCTTGCTGCAGTTGTCATATATATAAAAACAAAGTCCCCTGTCTGTCTGTCTACATTAGTCTTTAACATTTTCTCAATTAATGTATTTATTTGTCTCCAACATTTTTTTGGATTTTCACGTGTCTATCATACATGATAAAGTGTTCCTTCATCTTGTTCACATTTCCAACAAAGATTCAAAGTACTTTTTAGGCAATTTCTCTGGTGACAAATACCAACAATACATCATTTTATATAGCTTCTCTTTAATGCTAGAACACAATATAAATTTCAATCCTTTCAAATATATCTTTTTCCATTGATCCAATATTAAGCTCTCCTTAAATACATACGTTCTTTCACTTGTTCTTTTTCTGTTTCATATTTGAACAAATTTATATATTTTAGCAATAACACATTCATTCTTTGTACATAGTTCTATTGCAAACTTAGTCTTGCATTGTTGAAATGCCTAAAACCTTTTATCCACTTTAAACCTTTCTGAAAATTGTACATAAGAAAATCATTTTATAATTCATATGAAAAAATATAGCACATCATAGTACTATGTAATACCATTTATGTTTACTTATGATTTATTGTCTATAAAATGCTTTTTGTGCTGAAATCCACAAAGGTATTTTGGGGCACAACCTAGCTTTATATTTATTCCATGTTTTAAGAATGGCCTGCCTGACGTAATTAATTTTGACATCTACACTAACCTTATAATATCACAGATATCCATGTCATCCAAATCTCAGATTGTGTCCTAACTGCCACAATCCTCTATTTCTTTAAAACTGAACATTTTTCAAAGCAGATATTCATTAAATAAACATTATTCCAATTCACTTTTTGCTCTACAAATGGCTCAATTGCTTTTTCTACATAATTTAATATCATTCTCACCTACCCCTTTCATTGTTTAAAAGAATAATATTTTCTACTGGATTTACTTCATTCAGTACATTGTAGAATGTTTCCAAAAACTCATCTTTGTTTCTTCCACTATCATCATTCTAAAATGTAAAATGTAACATACAACTATCATCACCTGTAATCTTCTACCACCATAAGCACCTACAATAAAGAAGACACCAATTCATAATTTTATCCCCTACATTTCAGCTGTTCCATTTATAATTAAACCTACTTCTACATTTTCTTGCAGCTATATGCCAACCCTACCCCATAGAATCAGACCACTTTCAGTCAGATCAATAATATCCTTTCCCCTTTTGTTAGGTTGGCAGATACTTAGCCTTGCTTTTTTTTTTTTTTCATTTTATTATTTAAACCTTTTACACTCAATTTGCATTCTTCCCAATTCCATGGGCATTACTAGACTGACCAAAGATATTGTCTTCTATTATTCATGACTTTTAGTAAGATAAAGAAGATATAAAATATGTTGCCAACCCTAGTTATACACGTGTCATATGCATCATTCCTAGATAATTATAGCTTTTTGGCACATTGTAGCTAGTATTTATTTATTCTTGAGATTTATAAGGCTACCCAACTCAAAAAAAAAAAAAATTTCTGGGTGGCACACAGAATAAAAGTATGCCAAAAATACAACCACAGCTCAGATTTACTCCACACATATTTATACTAATTTATGTCAGCTAGGATTTCTACTTACTACTTTGCAAGTATATTTTGCACATGTCCCACCACCTAAAAGATATATGCATCAGACTGACACCTACCTACACAAGGAGACATCTATTGCTTTTATGATTTCTATATCTTAAGTTCACTAAGAAATTTATTATAACATCGATATATTCTACACATACTTTTTTTAACTCAGCCTTTAATACAATCTGGTAGGTAGATTTGAGTAGTTCTTAAAAATGATTAGCAATTCTTTAGCTAATTTTGGAATTTTTTATTAATTATTTTTTACTTTTAGATTATTTATAAAGAAGAAATTTAGAAAAGAACATAAAATAAAAAGAATACAGAATCATATATTCAAAATGCACTGAAAAAAGTAAATGAGTTTTTGAAGAGAAAAATGATTATAGAATTTTCCCAATAATCCAATAAATGGATGATATGTATATGCAACACAAGTGAAAATAATTTTACCATCCTTGATTGAGAAATTCAAGAACTTAGTGCAATGTTCCCACTATGTACACTTCCAAAATGAATTAATAAAAATAAAAATAATGGTAAATTTAAATATATTTTTATCAACTAGGACACTCTGTGTTAGCTATGAATGTTTTAAAATAAAATTTTGCATAAGCCTAACCTATTTTTCATATTCTGGGTAAAATGATCAGGAATTTCACAAGGAATATTTGAATTTAAGAAAAAGTGGGACCTTGGAGCCGTATGCAATAAAATGCAATAGTTTTATGAGTTGGGAATAGGGTTAAAGATGTATAAATGGGACCACTTCTGATTCTCTATGGGAACTTAAGATAGAGGCAAATCTTTATCAGCAAAACACTGAGCAAAGCAAACACTTAGATAGGAGGTCTCACTATCTATTCATTTTCCTAAAATGAAATTTACTACTTTAAACAAGGCATCCGATTGGCACAATAGGACAAAAAAAATAGTAACACTTTGTCTCCATTATCACCATAATGTAGAGTCAAAATGAACTCAAATTCATGCTTGATGAAATTAACTTTTGGTCTTCAAACAACACTCCACATATTGTTTCTGATGTTTTATCTTCCAAAGCTCTTCAATAAAGTAAGATTAAAATTAAGAATAGAAAAGGATTTGGGAGCAGTTTATCAAGAGCCCAGATTAACTCCTGTACCCAAAACTAATTTCTAATCTAGAAACTAGATCCATCCATTTCCATTTAGTAAGTGGACAAGACGAACCCTGTGTAGCTCCCACATAGCATCTCATCCTAGGTTGATTAGGAAGTAATGTGACCATAGCACCAAGTTAAATGGTTCTGTATATTTAAATCATCACATAACTGCATTGAGGTCAAATATATGACTATCAATTACTTGAGATAAGCCTATGGTTTTAAATACTGAGACATTTTTTTTACTCAAGGCAAGAAAACTGAAATCATCCAACACCAAAAACAAGGCGATGACAAACTAACCTGTATTCAGATAAAAATCAAGGAGCCAACTACGTGCCTGCTTCTGCCTACAGCCCAAATCAATGTGTATGTGCTTATCCTTCAGCCATTCCGACTCTACTTTCACATTCAAATATGTTGTCCTGTTAAATGAGTGTCAACCCTATTCTTAACATGTAGTTACTATAGTACCTAAAACCTGGCTGGGCACATCTCAAAAATGCTTGGATTGTCCAGCAGATCTCATTGATACACACTAGGTATGTCTGTTGTGAATGTTTGAATTAAGCTGTGAATGATCAGTATCTCTCTCTCTCTCTCTCTCCTCCCCTTCCTCCCTCTCCTTCTCTCTCTCTCACAACACACAATCTATATGTATATCTATATTTTCACTATCCTGAGTAACAGTTTTTATCCACAAAAGCTAATACAATTCCATTTATTTGGCTTTGTTTTATCTCTTAGTGAAACATAAAATAATTTGGTTCCCAAATTAATGCTTTCATCACTTAACATAATTTGACATACAAGTAGTCCTCGACTTGACAACAGCCTTGGAAAGGGTGTTTTATGGTCTTCCAGAAATCTCACAGTCACATGATTGCAATTCAGGTGCTTGGCAACTGACATTTATGACTGGTTGCAGTGTCCTGTGGTCACGATTTGTGATTACAAATTGCTAGTTTGAACTTGCCTAGCAGTATTAAGCTACTATTTGCTGTAGCATATATATATTTTAATAAAGAATCAAAATAATACATTTTAACTTAGACTCTACTAGACAAAGCAAAGCAAGCAACCAATTTCTTCTATCGTACAACTTCATCTGCGGCCCATTTAAATTAAGATATCATTGCACATTTAACATTTTATCGTAGATTTTAAGTTTGCACTGCTGATATAAATAGCATAAACTTATTTTCTACAGATAAAATCCATAGTAACACCCTATTCTATCCCAAACGTTTAAACACTGTGCATTTTATTCATGGAAGAAATGGTATTCTTTCATGGCAGTGCCAAAAAAATGCTACTTTCTCTTTTCTAAGTTCTGAAAGCCCTATAATCAATTTTTTTCTGAATACCTGAAAAAAACCCGGTGGAACAGGACCTACTGGCATGCCATCTCCTGGGGGAATGTTTCCTAGCACTGGACTGGGAGCTGCTGCAGCGCTCTGAAAAGAACAAAGGAAAAATAAACCTTTGTCATTGCACACAATAGGCATAAAACCAAAATACTACTTTGACCATAGTGTGGCAAGGCAAAAAGGAACACTCTCTGCATGACAGATTTAATTTTTTCTTCCATTTAAAATAATTAGTGCTCATTTTCAAAGTGCAGAAGGGAAACACTTAAATACAAATGTAGATTTCTTTAATAAATGACTGCCTTACACTCACAATTGAAAGGGAAACTTAGGGATCAGGAACTTCATTTAATTTAAACAAAGACTTGTAAATTGTGCATTTACAAAAGATTCTATTACAACTCAGTCCAAAAGGCAACTTCTGATCAGAAAAGTAGCATGTCAGCTAATTAGTTGATATTCAAAACAAAACATTATGGAAGAATTCATTTCTAAATACACTAACACAATTCTATAACTGAATACATAGTATCAGTACAATTTTATAATCTATTAAGAAACAGTCTCCTTAAAATGATAACAAACTTTATGTATGTGGAATGATGCTTTAAGTGATCAAATCAAATATGATAAATAATGCAAACATTTGCAGTATGAAATTGGGAGCCATATTTATTTAGCTTTCTTATTTCACCCTGGTGCTAATGACAACCTGGGAGACAGGAATTAAATCAAGAAAAGAGTGCATATCTGATGAAAAATGACTATATTTATCCTACACTGGGAAGATCCAATCTTAGTCTCCCACATAACATAACAGCTTTCAGTCTTAAAACTGGGGTTCCCAAATTTGTTTGCATTGTGAATCCAACAAAAGTTGGGATGATAGTGAGGA